CCGCAGGCGTGCATCTCAGCTTGTGAGTGTGTAAGTCACTGCAGCTAAGCTGTGCAGACACGCATGCATGCTCTCCGCTCAGCCCGGCGCTGCGGGGGTACGTACACACGCTGCTCCTGCTTGTGCACCTGTGTTGTGCACAGATGTGCTTGCTTTCCAGAAGTGCTCATCTGCGATGCACACGTGCCTGTGTGTCCCTCTGTGCACAACTGTGCTCTTGAATACCGGCCAGTTTCCCCTCTGCGTATACCTGGTTCAGAGCACACGTGCAGCTGAGCAGCGCTTGCATGTATACCTGGAGGAAGCCAAATTCCCTTCACTTCTGCCTGCCTTCCCTCTGCCCTGCCTGTAACCCCCCAATCCGGACGAGCAGAATACCTTCATCATGTATTTCTCTATACCTCGCTCACCCATAATGAAGGCTGTGCATTTCTTACATCTTAAAAGACCTCTCTGACATTATTGAGAGCTAAAGACGAGCAAAAAAACCCAAGCTCCTGTACTTTGCTAGGTAAAATGAATTAGTGTGGCTGGGATTAAAATACAACTGTTGTTTCTTTAAGTTTTCGGACTCTGTTTTTCAGGTGTGTCAGCCCAGTCCTTCCTTCACTGCTTCACACTGACTAGCTCTGCTTTTAATCTGCAAGTTGCGACTCCTGGGGTAAGTAAAAATGGGCAGTTACTGTGATTTCACTCTAAAACCAACTGATATCTCAATTGACAAAAGAGAAGTATACTAAACTTTTACTGAGAGGTGTTTTATTTGCCTTACAGATTAAGGGACTTTTTTTTTTTTTATAATTCTGTTTTCTTAATACTGAACTGAATGCATGCTTCCTGTAGTATGGTTCTGAACTTCTCCATCCAGTATTTGTTATCCACAAAGAGTGGAGGGCGAACTATTCTAAGAACTACTTCAGTGGGAGAAATGCAAAACTTCAGGTTTTTGAGAGCTAAAGCCTCTCAAAATAACACATGGTTATTCTTCAAGAAACATCTGTGCGGTGATCCTAACCACAGCCTTTGAACCATGCTTTCCCTAGGGGAAGCCAATTGATTTTGTGGATGTGAACGAGAGCAACATGCGCTGGATACAGGACTTTCGTATGAAATCGTATGCGAACCCGGCCAAGTTGGAGTCGATTGATGGTAATGGCTTTACTTTTGGCCTGTGTGTGTTATCTCCATTTATCAGGGAAACAGATCCTTCTTAGTGCTAAGTCTTTAGGAAGAACAACACAGAGAAGGCATAAAACTTGTGTTGTAAGAGGAAACACTGGTAACTGCAGTTGTTATTTTCATATTTATCTTGGATTGGTAATTCTCTTCTTTTTATATATATATAGAAAAAAAAATCACAGAATCATTGAGGCTGGAAAAGACCTTTAAGATCAGCAAGTCCAACTGATACACTATATATTGTTATTTTTAAAAACTAAATATTTTGCTAAAGTAGAAGCTAGCAGACATAGTGGTTTTAAGCTCTGCCAGGGTAAGAATGTTGCATTACAAATGTATGTTCTTTGTCCTAAAAATTTTTCTCTACTCCACATAGATCTGTTAGTTTCTTTAGTTCATTCAGTTTATACAGTTTTTGACTGACTTACATGTTATTGTCATAATTATATCAAATCTGAAAAAGGTTTATGATTGGGCTTTTTTATGTTACTTGTATGACAATTAGTTTATCCTTTCTTCCTTACTAGGCGCTAGATACCATGCGTTGCTGATTCCAAACTGTCCCGGGGCTATGACCGACCTTGCAAACAGTGGGTACCTGGCTAAGATACTGCAGCACTTCAGCACTGAGAACAGTAGGTGAACATCATTAGATATTTTCTTAAATAAGATAGCGCTACTGTACTGTTCATGTAAGGCTGTTACCTTACAATGACTTTAAAATGCTTACATCGTTGAAGAGCATTCAGAACTGGAAAGAGCTGCTTTAGAGAAATCTAAAGTATCTTCTCTTTAAAAGCATCCTCTTCATGTAAATGTGTATAAAAATATATTGTTAGCTTTTCAATGCCTGTATCAGGAGAGGGTTCTCTGCCTTAGTGATAGAGAAATGAGTTCAAGTCAGTAGGATTCAAGGTTCAGAGCTGAATGTGGACTGGACCAGAATCATGGTTAATCAAGCTGTAGTTAAGCAAGATTTGTGTCTCTGCTTCTCACTTACCATTTGAGTATGCATTTTTGTCTTTGGTGCTGTCTCTGGACTTGGAGTCAACAGCTAGTAACTCTTTGCAAGACTGGGACAATTCTTATGTAGGGTACAGGAAAAAACCTTACAGCATAAGAGAGTATCAACAGTACAGTATTAATTTTATTGCAGGAAGGCAACATGCTGTAACATGAAGAGTCTCGTTAACACTTCCCTGTTTGGCTGCTTGAAGATGCTCACAACTGCTCAAAAATGCTCTGATTTTTCTCTTAGAGCCTATCTGTGCGGTTGGACACGGAGTTGCAGCTTTGTGTTGTGCCACCAATGAGGATAAATCCTGGGTGTTTCAGGAATACAGCCTGACAGGGGTAGGTTGAGTTTCACCTGACTTTTTCTCTCTGGGGGCTCTTTTGCTCTGTGTGGGCCTGTGATTTCAGGTGATAGTAGTGGTGTTTCTGGTCTTTTTCCTAGAACTGCCAACACACATAAATCATGAGCTTGGTACCCTTGGTTTATGTGCAGGGTGTGAAGAGTTGTCATTGGCAAGGGGGCCCAACACTGAGTGCATGAAGGGATTGTCTCACTTGGCTGTCACGTGGAGAGTGTTTTCCTTACAATTGTTTAGTAAACTTTACACTGAATCAATAAAATGCTGGAAAGGAGTGCTGCAGCTCTTTGAGGGTGTTTAAGAATTACTTTTTGTTTTCATGAATGCCGGAGGTAAGTTATATTTCTCAGGGTGCTCTTTCATTTTAAAATTAAAGTAGAGGGAGTTTTAGGGAAAAAGGCTGTTTGTGCAAACTGGCTTGTGGTTCAGAAAGTAGCCAGATACTAGTAATATTTTATTTAATGTACAGTCATATCTCTGACCTCACAGACTGTTTATATGGCAGTTGTACCTGTGTGCCATGATGATGCAGACCTCTATAGTACAACTTCTGGGGTTGAAAATTTACATGCAAAGTTAAGAAATTAAGTTTATGGGACTCTCAAAAGCTATCAATGTCCTGGTGTGCTTGTATTTGGCATTACAATCCATGATAAAATATTTTAAATAAGGCATGATGTGGCCTAGCTATAGTTGCTATGGAAACCATAAAATTCAATTTCCTCCTGTGCCTATAAAAACTAAGTACTCTTTAATTTTTCTCTCTTCATTTAAGCTGTTTCCCGTATTAATTCCAAAGCATGGTCCTGTTATTTGGACTCTGCAAGTGGCACAGCATTTGTGTCCAACAGCTGCGTAGGTCTGTGCTATCATGAAGTTACTTGCATGCACACTGTTCGGTGTCCAGTTGAGGTGCAGAAATTGCTTGGTGTCATTCTTTCTCTATATTTATCTCACATAAGAATTTTCAGTTTGTTCCCTACAGAAAATCCATAGAAGCTGCTTGTGGTCATTTGGTTTTATGCTTCATTTCTGTTTAATTTCCTGTGTACAGTTGGGAGAATTGTAGGGGGAACAGAAAAATAAGTTGCGGGTGGAAGTATGTGTTGGTTTTGCTTCGCTTTTTTAATTAAAAGCAAGGCAGGCTTACTTCCTTTTGATCTTTTTCAGCCATCTGTGTATGAACTAGTAAGGCAGCCTAATTTTGCCAGTTTGTCCATTATTGTGGAAGATTTCGTGAAAGATTCTGGAGCTACGTTTAGTGGTATGTCACCCTCATTCTTCAGCATTTCATGTTTTGTTGCTCCATGTTGGAAATGAATGTTTGTGTGCCAGTTTTACACAGCTGAACAGGACTGCGACAGGGTATCTTGTATTGCATTCCCATTTTGTGGATATGAGCAAATGCCCTAGTGGATTAGAAATGACGTTTTAAGAATAAATGCCATGAAATACGGCATGTGGGTAAGTAGGGCAGTACAGTACAGCACACTGATGTCCATGGTTGCCCACGCATAGTCTTTTACCCCGTGGTAAACATGAGGTGGCTTGTCCTGCTGTGAAGGAAGAACGTGTACTGTGGGGAAGGGTGCGTGCAGGACAGTCATCATCAACCTGAAGATGCACAGTCCATGCCTGCAGGGAAATTATGTAGCTAGTGTGCTGCAGCTGCTATACAGCATCTGCTCTGCCCGGAGAGGTCAAGTTCTGGATTTTGGCGTTGTCTTTTATTCAAGCAAATGGTTCACTATTTAAAGCTGGAGGTACTACACTGAATATTTTTGGTTGCTCTGTTTAGTTGTCTTTTACCATCAAGTATTTTACTTGTAGCTAGATCTGGTGGTGTTGTATTTTCTTGTTTTGTTACTAGTAATTTCATTACTTACTAGTCAAAATGTAGGAGTTTGACTTTGAAGTGCAAAATCTGAAGCTTTGTCCTGTGAGAGAAATTAAATCCATTAAAGCACAGAAATGTCACTTGTTTCCTGGATTTGTATTTCTGGATGTGCAGGAAAAAGTACTGTTTTCCTTTACGTGCTGCATTCTTGCAATACTGAAGAGCTACAGGGAGAATTAAATAATGAGCTGTAAATGTTCCTGTTCTTCAGTTGCAGCTGTTGTTCAATCTCCTGTTTTGTTAAGTAATTTTTTAGAATCCGTCCTTAAAGAGAATAATGAGATGCCTGTGGTATTTAAGTCATCCTTTATTTAACAGAATAGTGTCACCCATTGAATTGGTACAATTTGAAGTGGCTAGATTAGAGACTATGCACGTGGCATGGACAGGAAACAGAGCCAGGCTCCTAATGCCATGCATCTATTTTTCACTAAGAAGAAATGCCACTGTCTTATCAAATTGCTGTATTAATTGCTGCTTTACTTAATCCTCTTCCATCCAGCCTGTTAGTGTATTTTAAATGGCATCTTTATGCTTTTCAAATGAGCTGCTGCTGCCACCTGCTGCATAATGGGTTCAGTACTGACATTTTAAAAGCCGGTGCCTCAGTGGTACCTGTTACGTCACACACGCTTGGTTGCAGCGGTACTGACAAATTAAACAAGAGGAGGAATACCATGTGTGGTTTGAAGGCACTTAGCCTGTGTTTAGACAGTCGGTGTCTGGGAGAGGGAGAAGAAAATGAGTTGTTCACTACTGACAAAATAATGGTTCTATCTGGAATGCAGTTATTAAATTAATTAAAATGTAATAAAATTAAAGAAATTAATTAAAATACTAGTTGGAGTTGGAGTACTGAGCAATTGCTGGTGGGTATTAACACGTTGGGGTATTATAATTGGCCAGAAAATAAGTATCTTCCTGCAGGCTGTCTGTAGCGTGGTGATTATAACTTTGATTTTTTTACATAAGAAGAGTTTGTATTGTGTTGCAGGGTAATTACAGTTTTTAAATATGTACTTTGAGGGTTTTATTGTGAAAATCTCTTGATATATGCACTCTACCCATCTGGCATTAATCGAATCAAGGGACAAGTCCTGCTGTCCTTTCGGAGAAGGACTTTCTTGTGAAATGATTTCGGGATTGGGGGTTTGAGATTGTCCCTGTCTGTTGGGGTTATAGATCAGCATGTCAGTCACTCAGCAAATCTGTCTGGTCAAAATAGTTATCTTTTATGTTAGTGTCAATACCATATCTCTGCTAGTGGACACTACTTCAGTTCTAACACTGCTGTTTTTTCTCCTGTATTTAGCCAGCAGTCCGGATGCTGTACATGTCGTGCTGGACAGGCACCTCGTGACAGGACAGAATGAGAATTCCACTCTTCCTGCGGTCCAGAATCTTCTTATTCTTTGCAACGTCAGGTGAGGCAATATGGGAGGTAAGAACTAGGAACAGATGGTGGTGAGCATCTTTTAGTTTCAGGAATATTGTCCCCCAAAAGAACGTTTTTGCCTAGATTAACTGCTGAAGTGCGTGTCATCTTTGATGTAGCTATTCAGTCAGTTATGTTTTTTGGTAAAAAGCATTTGTGATTATTTAAAAAAAAGTAAAATGGGTTGGGAAGTGCACAACTTACCTATCAGGACTGGTAAAGTAAAATGCAAAAAAGGCTTCATCAACAATTTTTGTTAAGAGAAACATCCCTTGTGTGTTGTCTTTGTGCTTTGGCAAGTTGGCATTTAGTCAGCTGTGTTTCAGGATTCCGGAAGTGAACAGATTTAATTTCTTTGGTAATGGCCTGGCTATTTGACTGTCTTTCATCTTGTCAGATAGAAGAACACATAAAAATAACCACAAAAATCTTCTTTTGTTCAGGTGAATGTGTGTTAAGTCCTTTTCTGGCTGTGGACTAACAGATTGTGTCATGTTTGGATGTGTTTCATTCAGCA